ATCCATTGTGGTGGTGTATAGAGCCAAAGATGTTAGAATTGTGTCGATGTCCCAATATTTCTGGACCTGACTGTAGGTAAGGACTACTTTTATTGTAAAGCTATAGTAACAGAATCTTGCAAGTTTGAATGTGCTTCCCCTCCCCTCCCTTTATCTTTGTGTGAACTAGGGCAGGCCTGGTTGGGAACATTTTCTTAAGTTATTTTCTTGGCCAGGTCTCAAGCCCCTCTTATCTGACTGTTGCCTCGTACTGGCTCTTCCTCCTGTCCTTCAAGGCCATTCCTTATTCCCTCTACACTCTACCCCAGTGTTCTCAACCTTGGAAGCTTTGGGATGTGTGGACTTCAACTCCCAGAATTCCCCAGCCAGCATGCTGGCTGGGGAATTCTGGGACTTGAAATCCACATACCTTAAAGTTGCCAAGGTTGAGAAACAGTGCTCTACACTCTACACTCAAGGCCATTTCCTATTCCCTCTACATTCACTTCTCGTCTCTGAGACAGCTTACCTGCAACTTGAGCTGTCTGACTATCTCCTCCAGCTGCTTCACCTGCACCTCCCGGTCTGCCACCATCTGCTTGAGCTGTTCAATGAGGCAGCTTTGCTTCTGGACCTCGACGTTCAACTGCTTCCCCAGGGTCTGGTGACATTCCACATTCCTCTCTTCCTGCTGGCTCAAGTTCTTTAAGATGATCTGCATTTCTTTCTGCTGGCTCTGATGAAAACGAAAAGGGACAGAGACCCTAGCTTTTCTAGCTGCCTCTCATGAAAAGGGGCACATTGAGCAATGTGAGACACACTTTCGGGGTGTTAGAGAAATGCATTATCAAAAAGGTACCCCTCGGACTGGGACGAAACAACAGGGACTACAAATCAAATCATTTCAACCATCTGGATCACATACATTTTTGCACAGTTCTCTTCCACAGGAGCTTGAAAGAGGCAAAGCTTCAAGAGTTTATCCTATTATAGCCCAAATGGAACTCCTGTTGATTTTTACTGATGATTTGCAATATATAATCAGTTTATTTAAACTTCCTTTTTGATTCTTTTGCAAAGGTAGAAATCTGTTTTTCTTCTTCTGGCTCTCTAAAGCAGAATAGTCCTGTTTGAGCAGGGGTGTCAACAGCCAGCTGAGATTTTGCCACCGTGACAAAACGTGATATGGCCTCACAATGCCAGTTGCATGCCATGTGTACACGCATGTGATGTCACAACACAGGTGCAACAGAGGCAGAGTTGGTCTTGCAACAGTGCAACACATGTTTTACCATTGGCTTATCCCCATGTGATTGAGCCCCCCAGTTGCACGTGCCCCACCAAACATCTTTGGGTTTGTTCCTCTAGAGGCAGCCCCAGAATTGTTTCTTAACTATTAATGGGAGAGCAGGAGAGTTATTCAACATACAGGGAGCAATTATGCAATGTCGGCTGGCAGGGACCAGAAGACGCGCCTTTTCTGCTGTGGCACCTGCCTGCTGGAACATCCTCCCTCCTGAGATTAGGATGGCCCCGACCCTTTTGGCTTTTCAGAAGGCTTTGAAGACCTGGCTTTATGCCCGGGCCTGGGGCCCCGAGTGTGTGAAGGGCCCCATTTCATGGTTGTGCTAATACCCATGGTTTTTAAAGATCTCTTGGCTGCATTTATATTTATATTTAATTTTTCGTACTGTTTTAAATGTTGGCTGCTGTTATTGTTCCTAGCCACCCAGAGTCACTGGTTTGAGGTGGGCGGCTATATAAATTGAATAAATAAATTAAATAAATAAATAATTTATATGAACTGCATGTCAATTTTATTTATAATGAAATGAAATGAAATGAAATGAAATGAAATGAAATGAAATGAAACAAAATCTTTGCCCTAGCTTCTCTTGGTCTAGACAGTATTTCTCATCTTCAACAACTTTGAGATGTGTGGACTTCAACTCCCAGAATTCCCTAGCCAGCATGCTGGACTTCAACTCCCAGAATTCCCTAGCCAGT